CTGATTTTTGTATGTTTATCTTGTATTCTGATACTTTGCTGAAATCTTCTATTAGTTCTGGTAGTTTTCGTATGGATTCTTTGGGGTTTTCTGCGTATAAGATCATATCGTCTGCAAATAGAGATACTTTTACTTCTTCTCTACCAGTTTGGATGCCCTTTATTTCTTTTTCTAGCCTAATTACTCTGGCTAGGACCTCCAGCACAATGTTGAATAAGAGTGGTGATAAACAGCATCCTTGTCTGGTTCCCATTCTCAAGGGGAATGCTTTCAAACTCTCTCCATTTAGGATGATGTTCGCTGTTGGCTTTGTTTAAATGCCCTTAATTATGTTGAGGAATTTCCCTTCTATTCGTATTTTGTTGAGAGTTTTTATCATGAATGGGTGCTGGAAAGATGCATTTTTTAACACGCTTTTTATTTTGGGAATGTTCAAATACATAAAAGTGGAACAAACAGCAATAAAGAACCTCTGTGGACCCACTACCCAGCTTCAACATTGTTAACCCATGGCTAACCTTGTCTCATCTACCTCCTTCACTCCTCTTCCAGAATATTGTGAAGTAAACACCAGATGTTGTGTCATTTCATCTGTAAATACTTCAAATATCCTACTTTTAAAAATGTCTAATAGTGATTATGGCTACCACTTGCTAAAATAATTGCTTTGAGCAGTTAATTACTATATGCTTTATGCACTTTGTATAGAATATTTTTGCAAAGATAATAACTCAGTTAACAGATTATAAATTAAAATTATTTGAGACTCACAACAGCTCTCTGAGGTAAGCATTATTATCTCCACTGCACAGAAGGGAGCTAGGCTGACAGAGGCTAAGTAACTTGCTCAAGTTCACATAGCTAGTAAACTGCAGAGCTGGATTGAAGCCCAGGGCTCTCTAATTCTAAAGCCCAGGCTCTTCGCATATCAGTGGAAAACTAATAAAAATCCCAAACACAAAATGTAGAAAATTCAGATTTTTTAAAAAAGTATCAAAATGGGAAACCAAAAAACTCGTTGCCGTTGAGTTGATTCCAACTCATAGCGACCCTATAGGACAGAGCAGAACTGCCCCATAGAGTTCCCAAGGAGCGCCTAGTGGATTCGAACTGCCGACCTTTTGGTTAGCAGCCATAGATATTAACCACTACACCACCAGGGTTTCCATTAAATGGTAGGCCATCATTTATTTAAAGTCATTTCATTTGAATCCTAAAAGTTTTTTTTTAAAAAACTAAAAATCTGATTTTTATGTTCTTGTGGGAAGAATAAATTTGGAAAATTACAAAGAAATTTTTGAAAAAGAAAATAAGACACCTGTCATTCCAAATTTTAAAACTTCTTATAAAGCTATTACGGGGGGAGAAAAAAAACCTAACTATAGTAATAGCACAAGAACAGACTAATAGATTAGTGGGATGGAATTCAGAAAGAGACCCAAATGTATTTAGAAAATTAAGTTTATGGCAAAGATAACATTTCAAATCATTAGGGAAAAGGAAGATTATTCTTACAAATGATAGGGCAACTGGGTATCAATTAAGGGGAAAAAAAGTTACAGCCCTACTTTACACTAAAGATAAAAACATACTTAGATAGATTAAAGATCTAAATGTGAAAAACAAACTATAAATCTAGAAAAATATTCTTATGACCTCAGGATGAGAAAGGCTTGCAAAACAAAATAGGAAGTTAGGGAGGCATAAAGAAAAAAAGGAGGAAATTTGAGTAGTTGAAACAGAAGAGAAGTTTCTGTAGTAAGATACACCATATAAAAGACTATAATACATACAGACTTGAAATAAAGTATTTGCAACACATACAATTGACAGACACTTTATATTCAAAATGTGTGTAGAACTTGTCCAAATTTGACAAGAAATTAGTAAGAAAAAGGCAAGCAACTCAAGAGCAAAATGGGAAAGGATATGAAGAGGTAATTCCAGAAGAACCACAAATGGCCAAAAACCATATGAAATGATGCTCAACTTCACTAGTATTTGAAAAAGAAGTATTATAAGAATGAGAGAATATTTTTAGTCTATTAGATTTGCAAAAATTAAAAAGATCAAGAAGATCTAGTTTCAGAAAGGATAGAGATAAGGGTCTCACACTGGCATCCCAAGAGCCAAATGAAGCCCACAAGGCATACTGTTCGGCAAACACAGGATTTTAAAAATAAATGGAATTTAAAGCCTTTTGGAGCTATGCTCATCAGTTCGCCACAGTTTCCACTACTGATACACATTCACTTGAACAGCTCAACCCTTGAAGGCAACCACTTATAGGGAAATTTTTCCCTGATATACTGTTGGATTCTAAATTGGTACAACCATTTAGGAAAGTATGGTACCTGTTAATATGTAAAATGTGCACACCATTTCATCCATGATATCCTACTTAAATAATACCATCATTGTATACACACCCAGAAACATGTTTGTTTGTAATAGCATATATTACATGGGTTCATATTAGCAAAAAAATGGAAACAACCTAAATGTTCATTAATGCAGTGCAACACTAAGTAGCCATTAAAAACAAAGTGGTAGCTCTTTCTCTACTGACTTAAAAGGTTGTCTCTGATATTTTGCTAAGTGCAAAAAACAAGCAAAAGAATGTAAACTTCATGAGGGTTGAGATTTTTGTCCTTTTTTATCTCCCGTGGCTGTATCCTCAGTACCTAGATCAGTGCCTAGCACACAGCAGGCATGCAAGTATTTATTAAATGAATGAAGAACATGAGCTGAATTCCGGGACTAAACGAAAGAAAAATAAGAAGGAAGGAAAAAGGGCAGGTAGGCAGACAGGAAAGGCAGATGTTGAGATTATGAACTTTTTATTAGCATTTTGTATTTTTTTAATATTTAAACTCTTTAAAGTTGCAAGCACAGAACAAGCAAAGATTTAGATTTGG